TATTGCTAACATTTCTCCTCCTCCTGGGTATCACCTTGGCTCTGCTCTCTCCCCCCAGTGTCACCTAGGACCAAGTCTGCACTGAGCTGCATGAGAGGAGAAAGTCCCGCAAACAGTCTACTCTGAGTGGCACTGACTTCACTATTCCTGGGCCTGAGGCCATCCTTAGAGCGTTTGAACATAGGTTCACGCCCATTGGCTAGACTGTCTCTCATTTTCCTGGACTCAGCTGAATTTCCTGTCTTCTGAGACTTTCCTGACTGCCCCTTCCTCTGACTCCCCGACACCTGGCTGGCCCCCATTCCCTCTAATACCGTGGTGTAGGGGTGGTTGTTTCTGTGTTGGACATTTCTGTGTTGGTCTCCTTGAGTGCATATACCATGGAGTGTTTCTCTTTGCACCCACGGTGTCTGACCGCTGTGCTCTGTGCCCTGTGGTGTTCTGTGTTGAGGTCACCTTGCTGGGGGGCGAGAGAGGATGGCTAGTGTGCTGCGCATTGGTGTCTACATGGAGGCAACAGTTGGGCATGGAGTCTGGGACCCGGGAGCCCAGGCAGCAGGCCGGCTGTATGAGGGGGAAACTGGGACTGCAGGCTGGACTCAAACATCCATGTGCAAGGATGGAGCCCTTCCCCCTTCTGGGCTGCATCCTCCTCTGGGATGTGAGGTGGTTCCCCTAAGATCACAGGAATGCCAGGGGCTCCTCAAGACCATGCATGAAGCATCACACAGCATGTAACGGGTCAGGGAGCACCAGACGCCTCCCTACAATTCCGGATGCCAGGCCTGTAGGTGAGACCTCAATCAATAGAGCCTGGAGGGTCAGATGAGGAGGGGATCTTAATCCTGATTTCCAAGGGAAGTTTTGGAGTAAAAAGAAACTATGCTGTGAGGTGAAGACCTGCTGGGAGAGGGGTGCAAGGACAGGCTGGTGTGGGGATGGACCTGAGCAGGCTTTAGCGGCCTGGGGGTGTGGTGTCAGGCGCCTAGGCGGGGGTGGCTGTGGAGATACAAGACAAGGTATCCAACCTCTGGGGTCTGCGGCATGCTGGCCAGTGCATGGTGAGCTCCTGCTGCTCCCATGGCCTGTCCCTGCGGCTTCCTGAGGGCAAGGGAATGGCTGCCATCCCCGGCCACCATCCCCTTCCTGCCATCTCAAGACACCACTTGGAGCGAAGTTCCAGCATGGCTCGTCCTGTTCGGTGGAGCAGCAAAGCCTGGGACCTGGTTGCTCCCCGCACATCCCCGATCCTGGGTCTCTATGCCTGAAAGGAAGAACACATCCATAAGGACTGAATGTATTCCTCGCCCATTAAATAGCAGCTTTGGGTGAGCCGTGAGCACTCTCATGAGTGAAAGAACAGGGGAGAACTGAGTCTCCTCCAACTTGGGGCAGAAGGAGGCTGGACACACCTAGGGCAGCCCCCACGACCAACCCACCCCACGTGCCCTCACTCGGCACGGCAGGAGACTGGGGGAACCGTGTTCCTCCTGCAAGACTGAGGGGACGGGGTGGGGCAGAGGGCCCCTCACCCACACTGGCAGTGTCTTTGGTGCCAGAGCATGGACTATGACTCCCGGGAGGCGGGTCTGGCCTGCAGATGGGTTTTGTTTGGACCACACAGTGTTTTCAGAATGTTTGAATGAATTGCCAACATTTGAAAGTCAAGAACTCTCACGTTAAAAACTGGATTTTTCTTCCAGATTGCTTACTTGGACAGCACTGGGCAGGCCTCTCTGATGGGTAGGCCACTTGGAGCAGGCGCTGTGGCCTTGAGGCAAGCGGCAGTCCCCTAGGGTCCCCTGTGGCCTTTCCTCCCTGCCTCCACGGATGCATGTAGCAGCCGCCAGCCCTGGTTTGAAGTAAGAGCAGACAGGGCAATCCATGGACTCAGAGTGAGGGACCGACCTGCTGTTCACCTGACGCAGGAGTGAGGATACGCTCGCAGGGGATGTGGGTCAGAGGTAGGCGTGCGGTTGCCGGTGACTGAGGGCACTGAGGCTGCTCTTGGGGACAGTTCCTAGTCCAATCATCAGTGGACAGGTGCAGCATCCTGGAGCTTTCCCCGCAGGTGAGCTTGTGCTGCCCAGCCGGCTGACCATGCAGGCTCACCCCATCAGAGTCTTTGCAAGGTACATCAGGATCTCTCCCACATCTGTCTCTAAGTCCTGTTAATCATGAACTCACAGACCCAAGAGTTTTGCAGGAAGGAACTTCACCTTCGGGTGCCTCCCAAAAGAGAGACATAATTCCTACACATTAAATGCCAGTGGTCGGGTGCCCCTGCCAGCCTCAGTAGGGGAGCCCACCATCACCAAGGAAGCTGGCTCCCAGGTGTGCTTGCTAGGAAGGGTGGCACATAGGATGTGTGTGGCTTGGCTGAAGTAGCGTTCTGTGCCCTCAGTGTTCACCCTCCAAGTACTCATCGGTTGAGTGCTTGGTGCTCAGGGTAACTGAAAGGAAGCATTCGTCCTGCCAATGCAGGCAAGGGGTCCCTGTGTGTTCCCATGCAGCTCTCCCTCCCTCCTCCGTACCTATAAATCAAGAGGTCCTGGAATCGGTCACCACAGGAGATCATTAGCATGCACAGTTAGCGAGCTGCTGCCTTTATGGACCACTGTGTCCTCAATCCAGGCTGGGCACGCATTGCCGTGGTACAGGCTTCTTGACACAAAGTGTACAGGTCTGAATGTCTAAGTCGAGATCCTGTGGCCTCCACAGCTGGTGGGGAACAGAGGGAGCCCATTCGCTTGTCTTCTTGGACCTGGAAAGGCCCCTTTAGAGTCCCAAGAATTTGAAACAACAGTGGTTTCCTGAAGGTACAGTCTTGGGATTCAGGCATCTTTTAAAAATCCTGTAACCCTCTTCACTGGTGCTGCGTTCCATCCCTAGGATGGGCCGGGTCCTCCAGGAGGCCACGCCTGTCCCTTGGCCAGCATTTGTCCAACTGGAAAATCAATTTCCTGCTCTGAAGCAGGCACATGGTCACAGTCACTGTTGCCCCACCCATGGAGAGTGTTTACAGCCCACTGAACAGTGTGGCACCCCACCCACACGTTGTTCCAGGTACCAAGGCCCATGCAGAAGTATCCCATTGCGTGTTTACGGCTTTGGAACTGCCCAGATGCGTGCCAGCCTTCAGTCTTTCCATCACATGGTGTTTCTTCCAATATCCAAGTTTCCCATGTCAGCCTCTTGACTGTTTCTAAGGAGAACCATTCCAGGCCAGTACAGGGAACCCATGTGGTGAGTGTGAGCTCTCCCAGTGAGGACAGGCCCTTGGTCTCAGCAGTAGGCCCGTTTGCTGGCCCAGGAGACAAGGATATGGGCTGTGTCATCAAAGCGTTTCTGCAAATATTAAAACCACATTTCATGAGGTCTAAGAGGCTGTTGATTATCTGAAGCATCGTAGTGAAAAAAGAAAGTCCTGGTAAAATGTGCCACCAGTTCACCAGTCCCAGAACACCTTTAAATCTGTCTCCATGTGCACCAGTCAGCCACGCCAGCCTCCTGGGGCTTTGAGATCCACCCAGACAAATCTGACAATGTCTTCTGCCTGTGTGGCTGTGTTACTTGAGGAAACAGGCAATGCTATGCAGCCTCTCAATAACACAATGTGATGCCCCTTCTCATCTCTTGGCAGTGTCATTCTTTCTTGTTAGAAAACATGGCATGGTGATGCTTTCTCCAACAATAAATGCCTGCTGTGTCGATGCTGGTCTGCGCCCGCCACTCTGTTTCTGAGGCTTTCTGTGTGTACTCTGACTCTTCTTCTGGGTGCTGCATCGTTATGAAATCTTTTCTAAGACATCCAGGTGGCAGTTAAGCTTCGTGGTGTGACTTGTGGATGTGACAGGGATGCCTGTGCTTTCCAGGCTCTGGCAGTGGTGTCTGCATCACGACTGCCCCTTGGCAACAAAAACCTTCCAACCCCATCCATCCCACGTACCCCTCAACCCCAGACATGTTAGAGTGTGAAAAAATGTGCCTCCTAGAATGGGCAAGTTATGGGAGTAGCTACCATCCTGTGAGAACCAGCTGTGCCTGGCAGAGGGTTACTAAACCGCTGGAAAGACTGATAACATCAGTCAAACCTCACGGCAACCCACAACACACATACAGATTAGGAAGTTGAGTCAGATTCATAGAACTTCCCTGGATCACCCAGCTAGGTAAATTTCAGAGCAAAGATTCAGATCCAGACAGTAGGATCTTCCATCTTGCTGGCTCTGCTCTGTGAGTCCTCAGGCAGAACTCAGTTGTATGTGTGAACCATGGAGAAGTCAGGTGTGTGTGTCAATCACAGACCGACTGTTTCCGCTTACTTTCCAGAACATGAGGCATCCCTCATCTCAAGAGTGATTCCAAATAGCTCCATCATGTAGGGTTTGTGGAATAAGCTAATAGAATAATTTATAATTACCATGCACATTATGCACATGGCAACTTCCTAAAGGAGCTCATCTATGTTTGCTGCCTTCACAACTATAGAGGTTGGCGCGGCTGCCCGCAGCTGTCCTTACCACGGTACCCTGAGAGAGTTAAATCACATGTCCTACCCAAACCTGCCCACGAGCCAGATTGACTGCCCCACAGCAGAGAGGATGTCACAGCACAGTGCAGACCTGGACCAGCTTACGCCTGGGTCTCCTGAGCTCTGCCTGTCCTGTTTCTGCTTCTCTCTGTTGCGCCAGTCACAGGCCTTTCTTGCAAAGCTTTGCCTTTGTTTTGTTTTGTTTTATAACATGGATGGTAAATGGATAGCGACAAGTATGTTTTTGTTAAAAATCATAGAAGCTATTTAACTCTCCCAGTGCTGGAAGATGTGATGGTGAATGGCAGTTTTCAGGGCACAGGACATTTTTCAGGGCCAGCCGCTGGTGCTAGCCTCTCTGGAGCAGGGGAGACCCTTCCAGACCAGGCCCAGAGGGGAGAGGGTGGGAACCACGCCTGGCTCTAGAGAATATTGATGCTGCGGGAACCCCAGTGGTTTTGGGGCCATGGCGATTCTGTTTTCGTGGTCAGTTAAACATGGAATTCAGGAGGAGCCACGTAGTTATGCCCAGGACTGTGGGAGCAAAGCCCCAAAACAAGGAGGAGGAGGGAAAGGGTGACTAAGGGCTTTCACGGTCAGAATAAACACCAGCACAAAGGAATTACGAGCTGTCAGAGGAGTCCAGGCTGGAGCCCTGGTCATGTAGGCACAAGGACAACTCATAAATTTGCATCTTAACAGGGTCTAGTGTGTAGATTGCTATAAGAGAATGCAATAGCCATCTTTTAAAAACTGTTTTTGACCAAGTGCGGTCACTCAGACCTGTAATCCCAGCACTTTGGGAGACCAAGGTGGAAGGATCACTTGAGGCCAGGCTTTTAAGACCAGCCTGGGCAACATAGCAAGACCCCATCTCTACCACAATATAATTTTCTCAAATCATTGACTCACTGGATTGGCAAGTGTATATTGAGTACCTGCATGTGAGCAGGGAGGGGGACATAGAGCCATGCAGATCAAGGTCAAGTCTAACAGACCCACCCTAACTCTTCAGGTGTTTGTGAAGAGGCCAGTGGGCCCGGCAGCAGCCTAGCCTCACCCCTTGCTGGTTTTGTTACAGCTGTAAAGGGGCCTCCCACTACGGCCTGACCAAAGACAGGAAGAGGCGCCCCCAGGACGGATGTCCAGACAGCTGCACCAGCCTCCCGGCTACTGCTCCCTCTACTGCAGCAGCCTACATCTCCCCAAGGGAGGCCCACGAGCCTGGCCAGGACAACCCTGCCTACGTGTCCACAGTAGAGGACAGCCCCTCAGCCGGCAGCCCGCCGGACGCTGGCCAGAGTGACCGAGCCAGGGGTGAGTCATATGGGCGGTTGTCTGGGAGTGGGCTCCTTGCCTGGGGATTGCCCCCTGTGGAATACTTACCATGGAAAGTTCTAGAAATGTTTTGTTAAGGGGAAATCATTTTGGTAGTTTTGGCAGCAGCCCAGTGTCCAACTCCCCAAAGTGAAATGGAACCACAGTTAACTGTGTGTCATCCAGCCTGGTGAGGGGTGGATATGTGAGATGTGCAAGAAAAGTGATATGTGCTCAGCTCAGCCCAGAAAAGTGAGAAAGGCAGCTTTTTAGGCTAGCTGTGTGTATTTCACTGCAGGAAACCCAGAGAACACAGTTAAGCACGTTCCATGGGCCCATTCCGGAGGCAGTCACTGGTGATGTCCTGCTGTGTGTCTCGTCAGACGAAAGGAGTCTGTTGACCATGGCTGCTATCCCTCCCACCTCTCTCCTCAGCACGACCCTTTGAGCGATCCACTCTCAGAAGCAGATCTTTCAAGAGGATCAACCGAGCCCTCAGTGTTCTCCGGAGGACAAAGAGTGGAAGTGCAGTCACCAGCCCAGTGGACCAGGGCAGGGAACATTCCGGAAATCCCACCCCTGAAGGTAAGCAAAACTCCCAGCAGGGCTGGACATGAGCGGGGCTTCAGGCGACTCCAGGGGTGACAACATCCTGACCTCCTCGCCCCCCCGCGGTCCTCTCTCCCCAGGGGGGCAGAGAATATTTCGCTCCGTGGGCCCGCTTCTCATGGGAGTGACTGGGGAGGGTGTTCTCTTCTTGCATGGACTGAGAGAAGATATTGGAAGCCTCACCTCGGCCACTGACATTGTGCACATGAGGACAATCACAGAGCTGATGAGTAAGAGACATTTAAAATGTTGCCTGGGCACGGCCAAGGCAGCGGGAGTGTTTGCTCCAATTCTAGCCAGGCACACATGGACACCGAGTTCACACACGTCTCCTCACTTGAGCCTCACAGCAACCCTACAAAATGGCTGTCATGGTTATCCCTGTCTATAGCTAGGGATATGGAGGCACAGAGGAGGCACCTGGCGAGTTCCAAATGACCCTGCCAAGTATGCAACCCGGTGATGAGGCTGTGAAATCCATGCAGAGGGAGTTACCAACCTTTGGTCCTGTATGTCTTGTCCACGATAAACAGAGCTGCAGAAATACTGCCCTGCCTTGTTTCTATCTCATACTAACACTCCAGGATTGATGCTGATAGTTGAGAAAGTGGAGCATTCCCTGTGTATGGCAGTGCTTTGTGTCATCTAGCCATCACCGCAGTGCTCAGGGATAAGGATTCTCACTCCCATTTTACAGATGAGAAGATTGAGACCAAGAGGGATTAGGTAACTGTCCACTCAGCTAGAAAGTGGCAGAGCTGGGATTTTAGGCCAGGTAAGCCCACTCTTGAGCCACTGAGCTATGCCTCCTCTCCTCTTGGGGGCCGGGAGGCAGAGCTCAAGCCACTATATGCATTACAGCCTTGGAAAATTCATGAGTGTCCACATGAGGCCCCTCCTGCTCATGCATCCATGGCCACCGCACACCCTGGACGCGCACCGTGCACGCTGGCTGCTCTGAGCCAGCTTTGTGCTGTCCATGCTGCCGCGTCCCTCCCTTCTGCTGTCCAGCCTGCCATCTACTCTCCTTCCAGTTGGGTCCAAATTCCTCTCTCCAAGTTCTGTGTAGGATTTGTCTCCTCCTGGAAGCCCTCAGCTCCCTTCCTTTGTGTCTTCAAAGCCTCTATATCCCTAGCACAGCAGTGACCACGTTTTACTGCAACTGTCCCTGTAATGATGGTTCTCCCTCCAAGCCTTTGCCCTCACAGTCTAGCACCGTATCTGGCACGTGACAGCATCCACCCAATGCATGGGCAGCGACCGAACGAGAGGATCACTACTTCCTTTCTGCCAGTCTCTCCCTCTTATTAAATCTCCTCAATTTCACTCCATGTAAAGTTTTCTACAACTTTAGTGAGATTCATTTGCATATTTATTACAGAAACATTATTTTAAAAGAGTTTATTTATATGGCAGGCACTGGCCTAGGCACTGGCATTTTATAGAAAGACGCTAAAGCCCAGTTCCTGATCTCAAGGAGTTATTCAAGACTAAAAGAAGATAAAACACAGGCCTAGCTTGTTTTACTTCGCAGCAGCCCTGCATGGAGCAAGTCTACCAGTCCATTTTCCCAACAGCATGTGCTCCCTTCATGGTTTGGTGTCACATTCTGGTAATTCTTGCAAGATCTCAAACTTTTTATGATGCTCTGTGATCAGTGCTCTTCGATGTTATCATTGCCATTGTTTGGGATGCCATGAACCACACCTTTGTAAGCTGGTGAATTTCATGGACAAATATGTGTTCCGACCACTTCATGGACCAACCAGTGTGTCTCTCTCTCTCTCCTCGGGCCTCCCTCTTCCCTGAGACACAATAATGCGAAATGAGGACAATTAATAATCCTATGATGGCCTCCAATGTTCAAGTGAAAGGAAGACACAATTCTCTCACTTTGAATCAAAGCTAGAAATGAAACAGAGGGAGGAGGCAGGTCCAGAGCTGCACTCTTAGCCTCGTGTGCCACTCAGCTGACCAAGCAGGGGGCACAAAGAAAAAGTTCTCAAAGGAGATGAGAAGTGCTGTCCCAGTGAACACACGAGTGACAGGAACATGGGACAGTCTTACAGCTGATGGAGAAGTCTCAGTGGTCTGGACGGAAGATGCAAATGACCCCAACATTCGTTAAGCCAAAGTCTAATCCAGAGCAAGGTCCTGACTTCCTTCCATTCTATGAATGCTGAGGGAGGTGAGGACGCTCCAGAAGACAAGGAGGAAGCCAAGAGAGATTGGTTCATGAGGCTTAAGGAGAGAAGCTGTCACCATGATATAAAAGTGCAGGTGAGGCAGTGCGTGCTCATGAAAAAGCTGCAGCAAGTTCTCCAGAAGGTCTAGCTGAGACAATGGGTGAAGGTGGCCATGCAAAACCACAGATGTTCAATGTAGATAAAACAGGCTTCTATTAGAAGAAGATGCCACCTTCCATAGCTAGAGAGGAGAAGTTGATGTTTGACTGGCTTCAAAGGACAGGCTGACTCTTAAAGACCCTTGGATTTTTGGAATGATAAATAAGCATGGCTTCCAGTTAAAGCCACCAGCTGCATTAGCCACTAACCTGCACACGCATGTTTGCAGTTGCACTATTCACAATAGCCAAAACACGGAACCAACTCTGCTACCCATCAAAAGTGGACTAAATAAAGAAAATGTGGTACACATATACGATGGAGTATTATGCAACCATAAAGAAGAACAAAACCATGGGCTTTGTGGCAAATTGGATGCAATTGGAGACCATCATACTCAGCAATCTGTCACAGAAACAAAGAGCCAAATACTGTATGTTCTCACTCATAAATGGGACCTGAACATTAATCACAATAGCGCAAGGAATTGGCCATCACAGGACACCACCAGAGGAGGAAGGGGGGGGTCACGTAACAACACAAAGGATACCTGGTCCTAAAACAGGGGAATTGATGACCAATTGGAGGTCCAAACTTCGCCTGCACACAGCCTGCTTGTGTAGCTTATCCTGGCTTGTGCCCGATACTCTATAATTTTAAAAAAGAATTATGCTAAATCTATTGCCTATTCTCTATCAATGGAATAAAAAAGCCTGCATGACAGCACATCTGTTTACAGCGTGGTTTACTGAATATTTTAAGCCCCTTGTTGAGACCTACTGCTCAGAAACAAAAACTCCTTTCAAAATATTGCTGCTCATTGTCAATGCTCCTGGTCACCTAAGAGATGACAGAGATGAACCAGGAGGTTAATGATATTTTCATGCCTGCTAACAACATTCATTCTTCAGCCCATGGGTAGAGAGTACTTTCAACTTTCAAGTCTCATTTAAGAAACATTTAGTAAGGCACACAGATAGTGATTCCTCTGATGGATCAGAGTGAAATAATTTGAAACCTTCTGGAAAGGATTCACCATTCTGAATGTCATTAAGAACATACATGACTACTGGGAGGTGGTCACAATATCAATGTGAACAGGAGTTTGGAAGAGGCTGGTTCCAGCCCTCATGGAGGACTTAGAGGGGCTCAAGGCTTGAGTGAGGCGGTCAGTGCAGATGTGGTGGAAATAGCAAGAGAACAAGAAGTGGAGCCTGAAGATGGGATGGAACTGCTGCAATCTCAGGATAAAATGTGAGTAGATGGAGGAGCTGCTTCTTACAGAAGAGCAAAGAAAGTGGTTTCTTGAGATGGAATCTGCTCCTGGTAAAAGTGCCATGGTCATGGGTGAAAGGACCACAGGGATTTAGAATATTCCATAAACATAGCTGGTAAAATAACAGTAGGGCATGAAGGATGGGCTTCTCTTTGGAAATAAATGACATCAAGTAGCATCACATGCCACAGAGAATTTTTACATGGGAGGAAGAGTCTATTGATGTGTCAAATTCAATGTGAAAGAAAATAGATGATTTATTTTCATAAAATGGAAAGAAGTCTAATGTGACCAAGAGTACTTACTGGGAAGGAGATGTGATCAAAGGCTCATTGGAACAAAGGGAGGTGTGATGACAGTCATATCATCTTATGGAAATGAAGCTTACTTAGCAATAAGGAAGCTGAAGCCCTCCAATCAAATAGCAACAAATACTTATTTTAACCTTATTTGGAACAAAAAATTGCCTAGGCAACATCTGGGAGAGATTGTGACCCCATAACCCCTGGTCAATAAGGAACTGAGGGAGGGATCAGTGCACTAGGAAATAAATTGCTTGTTATAGTTGCTGTGGGTGTACCTGCCCACCAGACACTCAATCTTGCAAGACTGTCATTAAAGTCTCGCTTCTGTTGCACTCTGTGTCTCCATGTCCATCCTTTGATTTTGAAGAGGTAAGCTTGTATCTCACATGAATGGTTGTCTTATTTTAAGAAACTACCACAATCATGCCACCTTTCAGCAACCACCACCCTCACCCATTTGAGTAGCATTTCATATCAAGACAGGATACTTCACTAGCAAAAAGATGACATCTTACTGGAGACTAGGAAGGTTGTTAGCATTTTTAGCAATAAAGTATTTTTGATTAAGTCATGCACATTGGTTTTTGACCATAATGCTATTGTGCATCTAATAGACCACAGTATGGTATAAACACAGCTCTATATAAGAGGTGGGAAACAAAAACTCATGGGACCCACTTTGTTGCGATACTCGCTTTAGTGGCATGGTCTGGACCTGAGACCACAGAAGTTCCGAGGTCTTCCTGTCCTATGAAGAGTGAGGTGTCAGTGTGTAACAGTGGCAGCTGTGGAATCCCAAGCAGATGTCAGGATGCCAACTGTGCTAGAAAGTAGCGGTGGATGTACAGGGAGAACGAGTCCCGAGTACCATGTAGGAATCCATGCTTATACTCCTGGGAGCTCTTGTGTGGCCTCACTGTGGGATCACAGCCATGTTTCCAGGAGGTAAAGGGGGCAGCCACGTGATGAGCACAGAGGTCTGGTGGGAGAGGCTGGGTTTCCTGACACTCAGGAAGCAAGGGGAGTTAGGAAGGCTCGGGGGCTGGGCTTAGAGTCTCCACAGAATCAGTGAGGTGGCAGAGCTTCAGAAACAGGAATGGGGGGGGTCTCATGGCTTCTGAACCAGGTCAGTGTGATGACCTTTCAGGGCATTGGTTACCCACCCTGTATGCATCAGCGAAAGGCCAAGCTTCCTGGCCAGTTACTCTGCTGCTCTGGGCTTCCACATTTCTTCATCTAAAACAAGATGGGGGTGCCAGGCTCAGTGGCTCAGCCTGTAATCCCAGCACTTTGGGAGGCCGAGGTGAGTGGACTGCCTGAGCCCGCGGGTTCAAGACCTGCCTGGGCAACTTGGCGAGACCTCATCTCTACAATAAATCAAAAATTAGCCGGGCATGGTAGTGTACGCCTGTAGTTCCAGCAACTTGGAAGGCTGAGGCGGAAGGATCACTGGAGCCCAGCAGGTCGAGGCTGTAGTGACCGGGAGCGGCCACTGCACTCCAGTCTGGGTGACCGAGTGAGACTCCAACTCAAAAAGAACCAAGATGGGGGTAAAAATACTCTGCTTGGGGTTGCTGGTGGGGGTGGAACAGAAGCACCCGTGAATTGCTTAGCACAACATGCAGCACGTGGTACATTCTTGGTAAATAATGATGATTGCATCTTTTAGTCCTGAGTGAGGACGCAGCTCTGAGTAGGTCCATTCAAGCTCAATACAAAGTTAGCAGTTGCTTTAAGCCTCTAGGGTCACCTGGGTCTCACTGGTGTTGGTCTAATCGATGTCATTTAAAAGTGTGATGGGTGTGTCCTTTTGAGCTGTCAAATCAGACATCCTGTGCAGTGTGGGCCTGGGAGCTCAGCTTCTGTGAGTCTGTGGGGGAGGAAGGCCCAGGGGAGGGGTGGAGGGAGGGAGATGGGCAGTTCTCATGGTCAGCTCCAAGTCTTTCTTTTTCTCAAAATGATTTTTTTTTTTTTTTGGCTGAGTTGGATTCTGTCTTCTAGGCTGGAGTACAGTGGCACTGTCACCTCACTAGATCTTCGACCTCTTGGCTGGCTCAGGCAATCTTCCCACCTCAGCCTCCTGAGTAGCTGGGACTACAAGTATACATCACAATTCCCAGCTGATTTAATTGGTTGTTTTGTTTTGCTGTGTTTTGTTTTGTAGAGACAAGGTCTCACTTATGTTGCCCAGGCTGGTCTCGAACTCCTGGCCTCAAGTGATCTTCCCACCTTGGCCTCTTAAAGTGATGGGATTGCAAGTGTGAACCATCATGTCAGCTGTCAAAATGTTTTTTTTTTAATTTCCATTTCTAGGTTAGGTGTGGTAGCTCATGCCTGTAATTCCAGCACATTGGAAGGCCAAGGCAGGAGGATTGCTGGAGCCTAGGGAGTTTAAGACCAGTCTAGGCAACATAGCAAGACCTCATCTTTACAAAAACGTCAAAAATTAGCTGGGTTGGTGGTACACACCTGCAGTCCCAGCTACTAGGAGGTGAGGCAAAAGGGTCACTTAAGCCCAGGAGGTCAAGGCTGTGATAAGCCGTGATTGACACATTGCTCTCCAGCATGGATGACAGAGTGAGAATCTGACTCAAAAGAAAAAAAAAGTTCACTCTCTTGTCATACCAGACATGGTCCAACAAATGCATGCGGCCTGGCATACTTACTACAATCAAAATAGTTTAACATTCATTGAACTCGGTCACCCAAGTACTGTAAGACCAGGACAGAAAACCTAATGGCTCTGTGAATCTTTGTGGAGTAAGGACCCACACTTACCATGCCTCAGGCCACCCAGCCACTAAATGACTTTGTTACCCATGCTCCACAATATGAGGGGGGACCCAAAAAACCTGGAATTCTCTTTGGGAGGGTGGGCCCTTATAGCACAGACTTCTCCCGCCAAGTGAGCATTCTAGGAACCCATTGGTATCTGTGTACCAGATAGTGTTGTGAGATGCTGGGTTTGGCGTCAGTGAATTTTTTTTTTTTTTGAGAGTTTTTCAATGCATTTGTCCATTACAAAATGGTGATTTATGAATGCACCTATCCGTGCTGCTGCACTGAGTGTTCAGTAGTTTTTGACCAAAAAAGTGGCATGACCTCCATACTCCCCTCCCTATTTACCAGATCCCACCCCAAGCCACTTTTTATTGTTTCCCTGGATGAAAAAAGTCCTCAAAGGGATACATTTTTGCCAACATGGAAGAGGTGAAACAAAAACAACAGAAACACTAAAAGATATCAAGATCGACAAGTTCAAAAACGGTTCTGAGCAGTGGAAACAGCATCTCAATAGGTGTATTGTATCCAACAGAGAGTACTTGGAAGGTGATTGAAGTGTAATTGAGAATAGACAACTTTTTATAAACTCTGGGTGTATTGTATCCAACAGAGAGTACTTGGAAGGTGATTGAAGTGTAATTGAAAATAGACAACTTTTTATAAACTCTGGGTTTTTTGGGTCCCCCTTGTACTTAGACGAAGTCTTCATTCATTCTGTATTCTTTCTGGAGAGTCAGGCTCTCGTTGGTTCATTGGGAAAAGTGCACTAAGGTCGTGGGCTTGAAAACAGTCACCCCAAGTGGATTCTGCAAAGGCAGGGCTGCAGGTGACACAGTGATGGGAGGCCCTTGGAGCACGGGCCATGACCGACAGCCACCGGAGCCCTCACTGCCTTCGCAGTCATGCTTGGGCCTGCAGCCACGCAGGAGCAACTCTCCCACCAGACTAAGTGTGGTGTGTCTCAGTCCTTCATGTGTCTGCCCCCAAATCCGTCGACCCAAACAGAAGTGTAGACACTGCAGTCAGCAAAGCCGGCTCACAGTCCACAGCCAAAACCCCTGTGGACTCAGCCTGGCTGTGATGCCTGGCACCAGGGAGTCCGGTGGGAGTGGCAGACGTCCCAGGCAGGGACCTGGGCCCTGACTTGCCCTCTGGCCGCCTGACTTGGTGCTGTCCAGCCTGTCACTTCAGCACAAATTTCCCCCTCAGCACAAATTTTCTCACTTACGAGGTGAAGGTGTGACCATCACTAGCACAGCGCACAGCTCACAGCTCTCAGGAGCCATGAGAGGTTTCGTGGGGATGGATGGAAAGAACATGTGACCCTCCAGTCGACCTGACACCGCCTTTTACCCTGAGCCCCATGCCTCGGCAGGCCGGGGTGAGCGCCTGAAGCCACTGACTGGGCTCTGGGCTCTTGTCAGGGCTCTTCCTTCCCTCACTCACAGCAGTGTCCAGCAGGGAGGGCCGACCCCCGGAGACTGCAACGTGGGGTCTCCAGGGAGAAGCTTTCCCCCAGGACCTGAGTGGCAGAAGGATGGGTCCACTCTGTTCTTACCTTCGATGAACAAGCCATAAAGCTGCAGTTCATCCCATGAGGGCCATTCATTCCTTCACTTATCCACTCTCTACTTACTGTTCACTCAGAAAGCATCAGCAAAGGCCTCTGCCACAGGGTTCTGTGTGCAGAACATGGAATAGCCACAGATGATGCCCTCGGAGACTCGAGGGCCCAGGGGGGCTGTGGGAAGTGGGCAGGAACAGCAAGAATGGAGGTTGAGTGCCGTGAGAAATGGCAAGACGTTCTGCCAGAAGTGGGTGTTCAGGGAAAGCGAGGGAAGACGGGCGGGTGGGATGAGCTGGAAGGGATCCTTCCTCAGGCCTTGAGGAAAGCTGGGCTTAGGCCCAGAGTGGAAAGCATTCCGAGCGGAGATGCCAGCGCTGGCACAGAGACCGAAGAGTGGAAAACATGTGAGGGAATACGAGCGAGTTTACTTTGGTCAAAGCGGAGGCTTGGCAAGAAGAAGGGAGGTTGGAAAGGCTGGTGAGTTGTCTCAAGTGAACTCTCTTCCTGCATTTCAGTCTTCCCAAGGCTGTATCACCTGATCCCAGACGGCGAAGTCACCAGCATCACCATCTCTCGCCAGGAACCCAGCGAAAGCCTCTCCATCAGGCTGGTGGGGGGCAGCGAGACCCCCCTGGTCCACATCATCATCCAACACATCTACCGTGACGGGGTGATCGCCAGGGATGGCCGGCTGCTGCCAGGAGACATCATCCTAAAGGTAGAGGCCTGGTTTGGAGGCCAAGGCGGTAGGATCACTTGAGGCCTGAAGTTTGAGACCAGCCTAGGAAATATAACAAGACCCCATCTCTACAAAAAAAAAATTTTTTTTTTAAATTAACCAGACATGGTGGCATATACCTGTAGTTCCAGCTACCAGGGAGGCTGAGGCAGGAGGACTGCCTGAGCCCAGGAAGTTGAGGCTGCAGTGAGCTGTGATTTTGCCATTGTCCTCCAGCCTGAACGACAGAGCAAAACCCTGTCTCTAAAAAACATAAAAATAAAATAAATAAATGTAGAGACTGTGGGGCCATGGCAAAGAGCTTGATGTTTAAAAAACAAGCAAACAAAAAACACTTCAGGACAAATAACTGGATGTTTGGGTAAATGACTGAAAGAGGGAACGTGACAAAATCCTTGTGACCCATCACTCTCAAGTTATATTGTTAGGACTCTCCTGGGAGATTTGATATTTAATTTGGTCAGGTCTCTGCCTCACCCTGCTCTGTTGCTCTCTCCTTTCTGCGTGTAAATACTTCCCTACTTTGCTGTGTCATCTGATTCCTCCCTGCTCCTCTTCCCTCTCTCTTCTAGAGTTTTCCATCTTCTCCTTGCTTTCTTCACCTGCTCTTTCTCCCCCTTTCTCCTCCTTTTCTCTCACCTCCTTTAAGCAGCACAAAGGTAAAGTAATACAAAGCAGGAGCATGTATTGTCTTCAGTTGTTTATAGAGCAGATTCATGGTGCCTGTTGCCATGTGACTGACCACAGCCCTTTGAAGTCAACGTCCTGTAGTTGAATGGTCCTCCATGAAAATAAGTCAGCCCCTTGCGGATTTCCACAGTCAGAGATAATCCAGGAGACAGGCGGGATGGGTGGGGAGAAAGCCTGGGCGTCGCTGCCCTCCAAGCCTGCTTGAGGGGAAGGACTTTATGGAGGAATTTCTGGAAGAGCAGAGAGATGAAGGAAGGGTTGTTTGTCAGACAGAAGTCAGACGTGCACCAGGCACTCTCCCCTCGACTCTTGTAATTCCTCCCAGCCCTCTGAGGGGCTGAGGGATCAGCTCCTGTCTTCTACTGAGCTGCTGATTGGAATAAGAGGAGAAATAATTTAAAGTTGTTTTTTGCAGAAATGCTACAATTCCCGCAGGCCTCCAAGACAGGGCCCTCGGGGCGGGACAGTGGGCCTCCTGCTTGTCTGGAGGCAGCCATGCTGCCTGGAATCCCTGCCTAGTAAGATGTCCAACTCTCAGCCCTCAACTGGTGCCCACAGGCTAGGGGCTACCACGGCAGTTCAGCAGGGTTCCTGACCCTCTGTGGCCTCGTGGGGGGCAGACCCTGCCACCTGGGGGCTTGGGCTTTGTCCCTTATGATAGAACCCTGTCCTTCCTTGGACATGCATCAGGGGATGATGACTGTCTACCAGGGAAGGTCTTTCAGAGTCCATTCCAGGGTCTCTCGACAGCTGGCTACAAACACAAGAATCCTTATCTGACTTCAGAGGCTCAAAGGGCCTCCCTCCTCGCAGGCCTCCCTCCTCATACACAGGCTACAAACTTCCTACAAAATGTTTTTCTTACATAGGGGTGACTGACGCTGGGACTGCGGCCTTTGGGCCAGGCCTGCATAGCCAAAGTCATGAAAGCCACTGTGAAAGTCACCAGCCTTGTGGTATGAGAGCCTGGGAGCTTCCTTTCATGTCAGTCTAAGACTGTGCAACTATGTTTTCCTTTTGTTGAGAACACAGCAAAGGACCCTGCAGCGGATCCCTTGAGGCCTGACATGTTCACACACCCATACACACCCACATACACATACACATGTGTACACATGCCAGTACACACACACACTCTCACATACCTGCACACACTCAAGTTGGCACATACTCTCACACACTCACACATTTGCGTACATGCTCATGCTAGCACATGCTCTCATATACTCGCAAACACACTCATGGAAGCGCACACACACTCAGGCAGACACACACTTGCACACACGCTGTCACACGCAGAGTGGGGAGTCCTAAAGGCTCTGGGCAGGTGACCAGGGAGGAAGCGTCAGCAGGAGATATTGGGAATGTGTCAGCCGAGCTAGCTGGTGTCTGCGGCTGTTGGGTGGGACCCTTGGCAGCGCGTGGGAGATGCTGTCCCCTCTGGCTCTCCCTTCCTGCTCCTCCCCTCTCCTACAGTTAAACACTGGCTTGGAGGCAGAGGCAGGGTCAGGACTGAGGACACACGGCCCATGGGAGGACGGGCCTGAAGGAAGGTGTCTGTGCAGAGGCCAGGCACGACAGGAAGATGGGGCAGGCGGCCCAAGAACACTCCTGTCACTCCACAGGCCAGTCTCAGACAGGCAGGGCGGGCAGCTGACCACGGTGCCACTCCGCAGGTCAACGGGCTGGACATCAGTGGTGTCCCACACCGCCACGCCCTGCGCCTCCTGCGGCAGCCGTGCCGGGCTCTGCGGCTGACTGTGCTGCGCGAGCAGAGACAGAGAGGCCGAGCAGCCCCTGATCCACATGGACCCCGTGACCGCAGCTTTCACGTGGTCCTCCACAAGAGCAGCGCGGATGAACAGCTGGGAATCAAGTTGGTGCGCAGGGCAGCCGAGCCTGGGGTGTTCATCTTCAGTGTGCTCAGCGGTGGTGTGGCTGACCGCCATGGGCAGCTGGGGGAGGACGACCGCGTTCTGGCCATCAACGGGCACGACCTCCGGCATGGCAGCCCAGAGAGCGCAGCACATCTGATCCAGGTGGGTCATGGGTCACTGCGGGATCCCCATTGGGGACAAAAGTGCATGTCCCCTTGACCCAACCACCCCAAGACTGCCTCATGTGATGTGCATGGCCTGTCTTCCAGGGGGTTGGGACGAGAGGGCCAGGGTTTCAGAGCCTCTGCCCAGGTAAGAGGGTCCCACGAGCATATGGCAGGTCTCAGGGTCATGGACGCTTCTGCTCATTGTGCTGCCGGCCAGTCTCACTGAAGATAAATGCACTGGACTCCATGCTGTGGCCTCACAAACTTGTGGTCAGTCATGGTCACCAGGGCTCTATCACCCTAGACCCAGGGTGTAGGTGCAGCCCAGGGGTTATTCACATGCATTCTGGGTACATCTAAGCCACCTAGTTGAATTAGCTCCTGTAAGGGTCGAGCCATGTGTCCTCCATGATGCTGTGGACAGAGTACACTGCAGTTTTGGCTAAAGCTAGGCCTTGGTCACCATGGCTAAGTCTAGCTGACTTGGAAAGCCCATGGAACTCAAGTAGGAACTCCAGAGGACACCCCTGATAAAAGGCACAACAATTCTCAATTGCCCAGGCAGACAGAGTTCATGATAGCCTGAGAGCGGTTCAAACTAATTCACTCTTCTGACCAGTATGATGTCATCAAACCAATGTGAGGTCATCAAAATGATGTCATCAGGCAGGCACAGTTGTTCACACCTATAATCCCAGCACTCTGGGAGGAAGAAGGATTGCTTGAGCCCAGGAGTTTGAGATCAGCCTGGGCAACATAATGAAAGCTCATCTCTATAAAAAATTTTTAAAATTGCCTGGGCGTTGTGGCACGTGCCTGTAGTCCCAGCTACTCGGGAGGCTGAGATGGGAGAATCGCCTGACTTCGGGAGGTCAAGGCTGTAGTGAGCCATGATTGTGCCACTGCGTTCTAGGCTGGGCAACAGAGTGAGACCCTGACCCCCCAAAAAATAATGTCATCAGTATTGTGACTGGCTGGGTCACCATTAAATTTTCTCTTTTTTCTTTTTCAATTGAACTTTTTATTTTAAGATGATTGTAGATTAATATGTAAAAGTTGTCAGAACTAATAGAGAGTGATCCTGTGTACCACGTGCCTATTTTCCCACATTCACATCTTACAGAGCTGCAGTATGATGTCACCAGGTGCTGACACTGACATAGTCCAGATGCAGAGCCCTTCCCTTCCCCCAGGGGTCCTGTGAGGTTAGTCTTCTGTAACCACACCCACATCCCTCCCCCCACCTCCTCCTTAACCCTTGGAAACCACTAATCTGTTGGCCGTTTCTGTAACTCTGAGTTTCCAGACGTTCTGTCGGGGAATCGTATAGTCTGTGAGTTTGGGTGATTGGCTTTTTCCACTCTGCACAATTCTCTAATAACCATATCTCAGGAACATTTCATGAGCGGACAGTTTCATCCTTAGCGAGATAGACATTGTTCTGGTTTCTTATGTTCTGCCCATTCCTTCACTTCACTCAGCAAACCCATGATGGACTTTGCTGCTGGTATAGCTCTGGGTTGGGTGCTGAGGACAGAGGTGATGACCACTGTCCCGAAGGAGCCAGAATCTATCAGGAAGGGTGGCTGGGGTGTGTGAGGGTCCTGCAGTGGGAAATCATTATGGTGCTGGTATAGACGCCAGAAAGGTGTTTGCTTGGATGAGTTTATGAACTCTTTACAAGAGGCCAGACACAATGTTTCATACCTATAATAATCCCAGCACTTTGGGAGACTGAGGCAGGAGGATCACTTGAGCCCAGGAGTTTGAGACCAGCCTGGCAATATAGGGAGACCCTGCCTCCACAAAAAAAAAAGTAGTCGTGGCACAGGCCTGTAGTATCAGCTGTTCAGGAGGCTAAGCCCAGGAAGCTGAGGTTGTGGTGAGTCATGACCGTACTGCTGTACTCCCTCGTGAGCAACCAAATGAGACCCCGACTCAAAAAAAAAAAAAGGAGTTACTAGAGAAGAAAACTCTGAATGGGGCTTTGAGGAATGAGCCACAGTTCTCCACATGGACAGTTAGTCAAGGTCATTCTAAGGAGACACAGCACAAAAGAGCATTCCCGGAAAGTCTGCCAGGGAGAGGTTGCTACCTGGAGCCTGGGGCGCATAGCCAAAAGCAGCTGTGGAGGAGGTGAAGTGGTGGGCAAGGGGCAGATCACGAAGGGTACTGTGTGTTTAATTCTTTTAGAGACAGGGTCTTGTTCTGTTGCCCAGACTAGTCTCAACCTCCTAGGCTCAGGTGATCCTCCTACTTCAGCCTCCCAAATAGCTGGGACTACAGGCACGTGCCTCCATGTCCAGCTAGTCTTTTAATTCTTTTAGAGACATGATCTCACTTATTTCCCAGGCTGTTCTGGAACTCCCAGCCTCAAGCCATCCTCCTGCCTCAGCCTCCCAAAGTGCTGGGACCACAGGCATGAGCCATCACGTCCAACCACATGTACAGTATCGTGACCCAGGCTGAGGAGCTTAGACTTTATCACCAAGGCCACAGGATGTCACTGGAAGGGTTTAGAAAGGAAGTGACATGATCTTCTAGAAAGATCCCTCGACAGGCAGTGGAGAGCTGGAAGGAGGGGGCAGGTGAGACGCCTTTGCTTAAGGAGCATTTGCAGTTGTCCAGTCACATGCCAGCATCCACGCAGTGATTCTTGGCACTCAGAGGCTGGTGAGTCACCTCGGTCCTTGATAGCCTCCAGCCGAGACCCACAGAGGATGATGATCAGATATGGAGCCTGCCTGGGGGACCAGGTCATCTAAATGCAAACAGATGTCCCCACCTGCAGAGCCGTCTAAAGGCCTCCCAGGTGCTGGCAACAGTCTCCACTGTTGTGCGTGGTCACTCATCCCTCTTGAGGACAAGGTGGTGGGTAGCACTGCTGTCATCTCAGGCGCAGTGGCCTGAGGCAATGGCACAAGGGCTTCACCTTGCCCTTGTGCCTGGGAGGGCTGGAAGCATGGGGACCCTGGCTCTGGGCTGTGGCCCTTGGTGGTGTCCTGGCTCTGAGGCAGCTCTTGGCCTCCATGGAGGCTCATCTGCCTGGAAAGGCATGAGTTCCCGCCCCAGGAGACAGACAGAGAACAGGCATACAAGGCGTGCCCTTCCCAGACCAGTCTGAGCCTCCTCACGGGCCTCCCTCCCTCCAGGCTTGACCATTTCCTCCTGCTCTCCATGCCATAGGAGCGTGACCTCCTCATGAGGTAAGCCAGGCATGCCACTGTCTTCTTCTCAGGTCTCAGACTAAGATTCCAGGTCCCGACCACATGGCCTGCAGAGCCACACGTGGTCTAGCCTTCTGTGGTGTCTCCAGCCTCACCTCTTAAAGGGAGGCTCCCTAGTCTCATTCGCTTGTTAGCCACGCTATTGCACTGCTAGATCATCACACGGCCATGCTGTCACACAGCCACACCCTACAATGCCATCACACTGCCATGCCATCACACAGCCACGCTGTATACTGCCACACCATCACACTGCTGGACCATCCCACAGCCATGCTGTCACATAGCCAGGTCATTACATGGCCAGGTCATCACACTGCCATGTTGTCACACAGCCAGGCCATCACACTACCACATTGTCACATTGCTGGACTGTCACACGGCCATGCCATCACACTGACACACCATCACACAGCCACATCATCACATGCCACGCTGTCACATGCCATGCCGTCACACTGCCATGTCATCACACTGCCACGTCATCACATGCCATGCCATCTCACTGCCATGCTATCACACTGCCACACCATCACACTGTCACACTACCACACCGTCACATGCCACACCGTCACATGCCGCACTGTCACATGCCATACCATCACACTGCCGTCATGCTACTCTTCAAACATCTCAAGAACTTTTCCCCCGCTCAGGGCTGACATTCTTGTTGTTCCTCTGCCTGGAAGAATCTTCCACGTATCTGCCTGTCTCACTTCCCTCACTTCCCTCAGGCCTCCCCTCAACTGCCTCTCCTTCGGAGGCTGTCACTGCAGTCCCACTGAGGGCAGTGTACACATGCCCACCATCTCCCCCAACCGGCTTTATTTTTCCTACCAACTAGTTACGTGATGACTAATGGCCAGCTGGTGCAGCACAGCGAAGCACTGGTCCTGAGCTCAGATGACTGGTGACAGCAGGCACTCAGGAGACAGCGGCTGAAAGAGTCAGTGGAGTCAGACTAGGGACATGTGAATGTGTGCAGAGCATATTTTACATGTTAACTTTATCTCAAAGGGCTTTGTCACCAAGCCTCTTACCAAAGAAGCACCCAGTCTCCTTTTACTGTCTGTCCCCAAGATGTCCTCCCTACTTTTTGTCCCCTTGAATTTGTCCATAATTATTGGTCGAGCTGTTCCTTTGTGAGCAGGGCTGGCCTGGGGCCTAGCCTCGCAGGGATTGGCATGTGTTTCTTCCTCTGATCTCAAAACAGCCAAGGCGTCATCAGGTGGGGGATCCTGGCATGGGCACCGGTGGGTGGGAATGGAAGCTAGACCATGCTGTGAAGCCTTCACGCAGGGGAAGCTTGTTTCCTCCTTTATGAAGAAGTCACATCTTGGCATGACTTTCCTGCTTCGAGGATTAGACTCCCAGGTGTTCCCATGCCTTCTGGTGTCACCTGGCTCACTCTCCTGCTGTGGGTCGGCACAATCCCCACCCTGGAGCTGACCTTGGCCAAACAAACCTCACAACAGGCAAAAGAAAAACTGACTCATTGTGTCGCCTGGGAAGACCCTAATTGCATGTGGCATTCAACTTTCATAGATTAATAACAGAAGAACAAGGACATTTTTTTCCCTGAGAAAGTTAATTTATGAAATAAAATCTTGCCTAACAGTGGAACTTCCTAAATGATTATTTTGCTTACTAAACAAAGCCAATGTGCTTTATAAGCAGGAAAAACGCGTGGGGGCAGGGGGAACGAGAGCAAAGCTAGTTGGAAAAGAATGGAAAACCTAGAATGCTAAAGAAAGCTCAGCAATCCCAG